ATTTTTTCCATATCTTCTCTTGTCTGTCTTAAGACCTGGATGTCTGGCAGTTGAGGATTATCAGTAATTTTCTTTCTTGAGAAAGAATGAGAATTCCTTACAGCTTCACTATTTTAACTAAAATAGCCTGAGGGTCCCTTTGTCCTGCTGTTGCCATTCAACAGCTTCCACCCTCTCAAAAAAAAAAGTGTGTCAGGGGCAGGCTAGGGGCAGGGATGGCCTCTGTGATGGCAAGACAATGGTTTTAAGGACCCCAAGTTTCTAGGACCTTATTTTCTATATGGTATGAAATTGCCTGAACAGACAACTTTCAAAGAAGACTGCAAAAACATCTCCTTGGTCATACTTTTATGAAAATTAAAGGTATGGATTCAGAAATGTTAAGGGGATAGAAAGGTAGTTCACTGGAAAAAGAAATAGTAGCATTCAAATCTGAAGGGATTTTGCTGTAGGTTATTTACTCAGGCACCCACTGCCTTGGAGAACTATATGAGAAAGAGCACTATTTCAATCCAGACATAAAATATAAATTTAGTAATTGCTGCTGACCATAGTGCTCAGTTTTCAGGAGCTTTGAAAGGAAATGCAACAAGCTCTCTTCTCTTGTTAATTTTTATTCTCTGTGAAATTCTGATTACAACTTCACTAATATTATAAGCAATATTTGCATAGAGATCAACTGTTACTTTTCTTGTGTTCATTCCAGTAATTTTCAATGGTGCTGCTTTGGCATGTAACAGAAGTAACATGGTAGTGACTCAAGTCCATAACAAAAGAGCCTACGTAATTACCTGCATAATATATGCAGAGTTTAAGTTGTCATTTGTTCCTGCACAGACTGGGTGATCACAAGCCACCATACCCATGTGCAGATATAAACAAAGACATAACAAAGATATTTCAAAATCAGAGGGAGTCTTTAATGCTATGAACACAGTTACAAACACTCTTAACTGTGGAAGCACATTACTTGTACTCACAGAAAGATTGTATTAGTATTAATACCGTGTGCATTGTGGAGAGAAATCTCTTCCTGACCTTGACTCTGAGTTAGTAGCCAGACAGTTGAGAGACAAATGGGACCAGATTCTGAAATTCTTCTGAGCTGGACACTTTTACTACGCACTGTGAACTGATGTGCTCTTGTAAGGTAAACCAGACTATGCAATTTATGTAGCCCTTGTCTGTGTCCTTCAAACACATCTCAAGTGCTTTAGGCAAACTTACACATATAGAATTCCTTAAACTTACTAGATGCCAAAAGGTGTATCTCTTTACACTGGCATCTCTTGGGAGCAACTTCAGTGTGTTATCAGATTAACCTAAAGCTATACTTGGCTCTGATGAAAAATTTGGGTGTTTCACCTAAGTTGAATGACTTCAGCAAAGTGTTTGTCTTCTCTTGCTCTTCTTTTTCTCTTATTTTTCTCTCTCTTGCTCTTTCTTATGAGTATGATACACATGGAAATACCCTCTGATTAAAGGCTTTTGAAAAAATAGAACTTGAAGTCACAACTAGATGCTACATTTTGATCACATGGATTATTTAAATTGGGAAAACAAGACCATCACAAGCTTGCTTTTGCCTGTAAATTAGATAAAGACTCTGTCAATCAAGAACTAAAATAGATTTAAAATATTGCTAAGAACAGTATTAAAATATTTTAGGCATTGTAAAGAAGAATGCATATATGCACCCTAGGGTCAAATTGATCCTTCTTCTATACCCCTTTATTTATGTTAGGTGTTCTCTTTCCTTGGGCTATATTTCAAAGTCATCCTCTGCTGGTGCTTGCAGTTGTAGGACTGAATTTGCGATCCTATGCTGCCAAAGGTCATTGTGAGGAGATGAGACCCAACTACCCACATACTACACATTCAGAGAGGAGTTGCTTCAAACTAGTCCTACTCTGATTCTAGGAGCTGAATGGTTATTGGTGGTTGGATCATACCAGACAGAGGCTAAGTGTGCATCTTCTGGCTTATTGTCGTCAAAAAGGAACCCAATTTTGCTCCTCTGTATCATTCTCCCATGTGAACCAAAGAATGTAAGTGAGGATGATCAGGAATATAATTGTGGAAGTGCACTCCTGATCCAAACCAAAATGCAAACGTAGACTTAGTCTCATTTGGCTTATTTATTCTCCTTTAAGACTTGTACAACAATTCAGCAAAAGCAGAATTTGGACAGACAAGATTTATGAAGGCCCATACCTGCTCTACAAATTGTTTTTCAACTCTTTTAAGTATTTAAACTTTCTTTGTGTCCAAGTATTCTCTAATACTATGTTCCTTACCATTTTAGAGTCTTTCTGTGTGTTTTGCGGTTCTTTTCTTCTCTGCAGCTTATTTCTATAGGATGTTTTTATTCTTTTCCCTGTATTTGGCATTTATTTTGATTTCTGTGTTTTCTTCTGTATGCTTTCCTGTGCTGAACAATCTCCGTTAATTATTGCCACAGTGCATTTTTACTTTTGATTCACTCTTCCTTCTTTTCCCTCTTCTATTATTTCATTACTTGTTTCTTGATATGGGACTAGGATTGGGTTTGTTTGATGACTATGGGTAATGAAATTATCTCAGAGGGCAAATGTATGGGATTTGGAATTGACACCTTTCAAGAACAGATGATGTAAAGGCCTGTGGAGAGAAATACCTGTGCTACAAGTCTTAATTCCAGTTCTTAATGAAAAAGGGCATCCAGAGAGAGTCGTAAGGTGAAAGCCTGATCCGGGTTTTGTTTTAAGCAGTGTATAAAAAAATTCAGAATAAAAAATTGACAAGCATATCCAAACAAATGAAACCTCTTTCATTTCAATACTGTGCAAATTCACCATACTCGCTGCTTAAAAATTTGTGGTGTGGTTTGTTATTACAAATGGGCAGAACTTGTATGTAAGTTGGTAAGTAAAACTGACCCTCTCTAACAAGAGATGAATTGTTGCTCTGGATTCAGTCCAGAGAAAACACGACCCTGCCAGTAGTAGGCTATGTAATTGCTGTATTTAGTTTCTGTCGACCACTGTCTCATAGCTTATCTAGTAGCTGCTGATGGTTAGCACCATCAGACAGTGCTGGTTGCTATGCTGGCAGAGAATTAGAATCATAGAATCATAGAATCATACGGGGTTGGAAAGGACCTCTGGAGATCATCTAGTCCAACCCCCACACCGGAGCAGGTCTACCTACAGCACGTTGCACAGGAACTTGTCCAGGCTGGTTTTGAGTGTCTCCAGAGAAGGACATTCCACCACCTCTCTGGGCAGCCCATTCCAGTGCTCTACCACTCTCACAGTAAAGAAGTTCCTTATGTTTAGGTGCAGCTTCTTATACTCAAGTTTGTGCCCATTTCCTCTTGTCCTGTCACTGGGCACCATTGAGAAAAGACCAGCCCCATCCTCCTGACACCCTCCCTTTAAGTCTTTGTACACATTAATTATATCTCCCTTAAGCCTTCTCTTCTCCAGACTAAAAAGACCCAATGCTCCAGGCCCTTAATCATCTCTGTGGCCCTTTGCTGTACCCTCTCCAGCAGTTCCCTGTCCTCCTTGAACTGGGGAGTCCAGAAATGGACACAGTACTCCAGATGGGGCCTCACCAGGGCAGAGTAGAGAGGCAGAATGACCTCCCTCGACCTGGTGGCCATGCTCTTCTTGATGCACCCCAGGATGCCATTGGCCTTCTTGGCCACAAGGGCACATTGCTGGCTCATGGTCATTCTGTTGTCCACAAGAACTCCCAGACCTTTTTCCTCAGAGGTGCTTTCCAGCAGGTCAGCCCCCAACCTGTACTGGTGCAGGAGGTTATTTGTCCCCAGGTGCAGCACCCTACACTTCCCCTTGTTAAATTTCATTAGGTTTCTCTCAGCCCAACTCTCCAGCCTGTCCAGGTCTCACTGTATGGCCACACAGCCTTCTAAGGTGTCAGCCACCCCTCCTAGTTTTAGGTCATCAGAAAACGTGCTGAGGGTACATTCCATCCCTTCGTCCAGGTCATTGATGAATATACTGAAGAGGTCTGGACCCACTATTGACCCCTGGGGAACACCACTTGTTACAGACTTCCAGCTGGATTCTGTGCCCCTAATCACAACACTCTGGGTTCTGTCTTTTAGCCAGTTTTCAATCCACTTAACTGTCCATTCATCTAACCCACACTTCCTAAGCTTAGCTATGAGGATGCTGTGGGAGACAGTGTCAAAAGCCTTGCTGAAGTCAAGGCAGACAACATCCGACACCCTCTTCTCATCTATCCAACCAGTCATGACATCATAGAAAGTTATCAGGTTAGTCTGACATGACTTCCCCTTGGTAAATCTATGTTGTCTACTTCTGATAGCTTTCTTTTCCTCCATATGCTCTGAGATGACACCCAGGATGAGGTGTTCCATCACCTTTCCAGGGATGGATGTGAGGCTGACTGGTCTGTAATTTCCCGGGTCCTCCTTCTTGCCCTTTTTGAAACATTAAAGCTGCACAGACTGAGAGACCATAGAGGTTATGATCAGCTGGGGACACTTACATCTGCAGAGGGCCTTTATGAGAATAAGAAACTATATGAAAAAGAGGTGTTGAGGAAAAAGGAGGAATGGAAACAATGGACTAGAAGAGGAAAGAGGAAGAGGAAAACATGCAAGTTACATGTAGGCATGGAGCAGGTATAAATCAAGAAGGAGTTTGTCTTCCTTCACCTCCCCCTTCTCTTCTTTTCCTTCAATATTCCTTGCTTATTATCTGTTAAGACTTTTTTATATATGTACCACTTACAAAGCCAAGTGCTGCCTCTGTAGATTGTCCAGTGTTCTGTGTGCTTATATTTTTCCTTGTATAATACTATCAAAAATTTAGGGATTTTAGTCTCCATATAGTCAATATAGCATACTTCTGGTGATCTAAACACAGCAGAAGGACAGCAGTGTCTCTGTAAGGATATAAAACACGCGCTAGGTAGTGCCCAGGGGTAAACCAGTGCAGTAGAAAAGACTAATGAAAGGAACAATATTATGCTTTGAAGGTGGCTTTTAATATTATTTAATATTATCCAGGTTACATTTGTGTAGTATGATGAACAAATTCAATAGCCTAAGAAATATATCTAGAGGTCTATTACTTTTGAAAGACACAGAAAAGTATCTAACTGCTAATTATTTGTAAGTGCTTTTGTTAAGGCCACAAAGAAAAGAAAATGCAAAGAAAGCTTAGAACATTTAGAAACAGCATGTAAATTCAGACTGTACTTGTAGGATATATTGAAAGATGAACACTTTCATAGCACTACAGAGACCTTCCACTGAAAATAAAAACTAGTTCTTTTTGAACATTAATTTCAAAATTAGTTAGCTAGGTACCAGACATTAAAGTTTCCTTTTCTCAGTTAGTCACATTAAAATTTTCTACATTATTCTTTATATTGTTAATACAAGCAAGTACCTCTTATACAATCAGAAAGGAAAATGGTTAATGAATAATTTGGGATTTAAAACTTATCAGAATTCAGACAGCCTTTTCAGATTAATTTGAAAATGCTAAATTCTGCCCCCCATGTAGCATTATGAGTTCTTCTGTGGGATTTTGATTGTGACAGTCTTCACTTCTGTGTATTCGTGAAGGCCGTATTCTCCCCTAGATAAAAGAGAACAAAGAGCAATATTTATGCTAATGCTTTTTATATGACCTATGTCCTGGATAGGATTTTTGGTAGTGCTGTGCAATTGGCCAGCTGTATAAGAAGTGTACTGGACATATTTGGAAGACATCTGTAAAGCTAGACTGCTGCTGGAAGCCTTTTGAAAAGCTACAGCAACTGTCTTCTGAGAAAAATGGGAGAGTAATTGCATTTCTGTGCAAAAGAATGGTGTTTAATCAATTCAGTGCATTTCTAAAGTGTGTTTCTGTGCAGCAAATCAGGTACATGTTAGATATTCACAAGCATGTTCAAGCATGTATATTTGCAAAGGTCTTCCTCTGATGTCAAGCGTTTTCCCCAGAGTCAAAGAATAGATGCTTCATCTCAAGTAATGAGGGACATAAGTAATCCACTATGAAATCTCCCAGATAGTGAAAAACAAATCTTAATGACATGTTATTAGCATGATTCCACCTTTATATTTTACATGGTGAGATGAAGCTTGCTTGTGGGCCTAGATGGTTGACGTCTGACTCGCTCAAACTATTTAGACATAATTGTTTTATATAACAAGTATTTGCTACAGTTTAACATTACCCAGTTCTCTCTGCCATCTTACAAGATGCATATGTATGCAAAACAGAAACCTGTGTTCAGGACTTTTTTGCTGTGGGAAAATGTTTACAGATTCTCTTCATTTTTTAAGAGGCATTCTGTTAGTACATAACATTCAGTAGTTTAACTCATAATGATACTGTCATTCCAAGAATTATACAGGGCATTTTATTCTGGCATTCAAGGAAGTCAATGGCCTGACACACTAACTTCCTGATTATTTCGTGCAGTTGTTTCACACATATTTCTGCCCCTCCTAGAATTGATTGCCACATGGTTACAATATTTTTTCCATAGCAAACAACTATCTGGTGCTAATGCCTGTCCTGTCTTCTGGCAGGAAAACTTTAGTGGTCTACAAATTGTGATTTTGAACCAAACATTAGGAAAAACTTCATTTGGACAACAACTTAAATCCTTACAAATGCACTGTTATAGAGAGTATTAATCTTTATGGTAGTATATAATTGTTTTCCTGTTATTTATAGGAAACAAATCCAAAAACTATTTCTGCAAAAGTCTGTAATTCAGAATTGATTATCTCCCAATTTTTGGCACTCAGCAATGCGAACCAATCCTTGATAGTAATGGCCTAAATTATTGGGTTCTTTTTTTTTTCATTTTAACATTTTCGGAAGCTCTCAGCATTGGCATAATTCTGTTTCCTTTGAAGTCAGTGGGAGCTCTGCCATCAAGAGCAGATTGAGTCCAGTGATGAGCAAGCATGAAAACCCTAGTCTTTATCTCTTAAAAAAAAAAAATGAAAAAAGAGAAAAAGAAGCTCTGAAGCACTTTATCTGCGCATATATTTTTAAATTACTTCCATTATTCACTTGCACGCATTTGTCTTAGTGGAAGGGAAAACTTACATATTTTGATTTTTATTCATTGCTTTAAAAATAATTTGTTGCTCTTAGATATATGGCTTTTATAACAAAGGACTGACTGTGATATATGTTTCAAAAAAAAAGCCAGAAGACATAATTCTTTGTAATGTAATGAGCATGTATGATATCAAATGTTTCATGACATAACACATTACATGATTCTCTTGCTAATATGCATATTGAGATGAATACTGGTAAGACAGGGCTTGATTCAAAATGAAACTGGACTAAATCTTTGAAGTTTGGAAGAATTTGATTAGCTTATCATTTCTCTATACTCCTCACTTCTTCATTGGGAAAAGACCAAAGGTCTGAAGACTACAAGGTACTGCTTTTGTTGTAACTTTTGACCAAGCTGGAACAACCTGTAAAAACATTATTGTCACAAGACTCTTGTTTAAATCAAGGATTTTGAAATGTCTTGCATTTTCAAAAACCTAGCATTTAAAGAAGATTCCACAAACTACAGACATATGTATCTTCATGCAAATAACACTATGTATATATGCAAAAAATGTAAACCATAAACACAATAATCAGATTTATATAGCAGTAGACTGAAAGTGACTAAAAATGGTAATTTTGAAAAAAATATGTTTCCTTTTTCCTTATTTGTTTTATAGAGGAATTATTTGCTTGACATTGTCTCTGACAACATGAAGCCTCTAAACACTGTATAGACTAATTTGAAGAACTCTCAAACTGGACATGCTAGTTCTGAACGTTTAAAGTTGGGGTTTAGAATTTCATTTTGCAGTTCTTGTGAATCTAAATTTCTCAAAGTATTACTTACATTTCTCGTCCATTTCCTGACATCTTAAATCCTCCAAATGGACACTGAGCAGACATTGCACTATAACAATTAACCCTGGAAGAAGAGGAAAATTACTTCTGACAGTGTAATACAGCTTTTTTTCACTCCTGAAATATCAGTGTTTTCTGGTCTACTGTAGAAAACCTTTCATGGTACTCACAATCTGTATCTGAGTAATATATTTGCAAAAATATTGTAGTTCAAGGTTCAGAGAAACAAAGCATTATCAGAAACTACACTTATGATCAGGATTCTAGCCCTCATAAAGGGTCTTCAGTCATATCTTTCGCTGATAGTTAGGATAAAATTCCTTCCTAACTACTGCACAAACTCTCAAACCAAAGACTAGTCACAGTTCAGCCTTCTGCATGTGCACTTCCAGCAGGTAAATTCAGGATTGCTTCATTATATATATTTAGGAAATTTTATTTGATTGTACTCAATGTTAACCATGTTCTGTATTGTGGTTGACAACAAAATTTAATAACAAGTAACAAAGGAATTTCACTGGGGAATTTGTAGTATAAAGAATTTTTGGCAGAATGTGCATCCTGCTCCCTAGCTGAGCAGCTCTTTTTGTCTTGCAACATTGGCAAATCAGACATTGTCTATTTTCATATCTTATACATTCTCCTGCTGCTATTTTACTGGTGTCAACAAAAGAGGTTCTGCTTATAGTTAGATTCCTAGGCAGATCAGCAATCACATAAGAGTAAAACCCAAAGATTCCACTTTTATTTTAAACTTTCTTCCATTTAAAGAATACCAACTCCTAAGTCAAAACAGTTAATTTATTTTTAGAAAGCGTATGTTTTTAGGTCACACGACCCAGGCAGGAATTTGTGGTAGCTGCAAGTTCTTTCAGATAAAATGTAAATTGGACACAAGCTTTTTGTTCAAGTAAAATTGGTTTGTCTCTTTCTGATGCATCAAGATAAACATAGGGAAATGCAGGTCCCTGTCAGTGAGTCTAAGCTTTCACTCCTGCATCTCTAAGCCTTTGCCTTTCCAGCTCCATGTAGGTTGCCTCTTTCTTTTCCATCGCTGGAAATAGCTGTCCTTGTAGCAGTTCCCCTCACTTACATTTCCTTCCTTTTTTCAACTACATTTTTTCAATCTTTTCTATCACAGGTGAATGTCCTAATCAGGTTAATTGCCAGAGAACTTCAGATACTTAATTTCTTTGCACAGTATAGAAAATGATCGCCGCAAATTAAGTATGTTGTTGGGTTGTCCCCAGATCGTGAACAGAAAAGTGGCACTCTCACCTTATTTCCTTTTGTCTCTTTTCCTTTTTAGCAAGTCAATTTCCTTTTTCAGACTGATTTTACAGGACAATCTTACAAAGACTTACAAGTAGTGTTTATTTAATAGCATGTGAAGTATGGAAAGGCAAAGGGAAGAAATACATGAGAGGATAGCATTAGTCTACCTTTCTCGAGACGACAAAAAATTGAATTACAAAAGTATACCACCCAAAGAAGTGTTAAAATGCCCCACAGTTACTGCCATTGGCACCTGCAGTTCTGAAGGAAGAAATAAAAACCCCTATTACTTACCATACTGTTCCAGCCTGAAGAGCAGCTGCAAACGTCAGTGCTTTATCAATGTCTTTGGTAAAAACTGCTGCTGCTAAGCCATAGGAAGTATTATTTGCCCTCTTGATAACCTCATCTATAGTTTTAAACTTCATGATTTGTTGAACAGGTCCAAATATCTGTTTCAGACACATGTAAATATATGAAGTGGACTAGTATGGCTTACCGCAAATTATATAATTTGCTAAAGCAAATAACTCCTATTTTTCAATTTTATTTGTCAGATGACCTTATTTCTGAATTCATTCAGTCAAGAGTGTACATTTCAGAACAGAGTTCTAAAAAGGATTATAATAATTATAATTTATATATCTATATAATAAAATAAATAATAAACAAGAATGATATATGTATATATAATTATACATATATAATTATATATTTGTATATTATAAAGAAATATAATAATAAATAATATATATTATTTAAATATTATAATAGTTATATAAGGTAAGATTTTTTGTAGCATAGAGCAAATCAAGATAGCCTATTACAAAATTATTAATAAAACAATAAATAAATAAATAATGAAAACAAATAAATGAAGATGAAATGACAACCATCAGAAAGGTAGTTAGCATGGAGTCAAAGCATGTAGCATACCCATACTGGTTACCAACAAACTGGTGTTTGCTTGGTAAGCTCCATTTTTTTATTTGAGAACGATATTCAACTTTTCCTCCTTTCTATTAAACTTTTATCTCTGCAGGTAGCTGCACAACTGGACACATAGGCCAAGTGAAATAGCTAATTCTGCTCTCCATTGTGAGTGTGATGTGAGATAATAGTCCCCCAGGTTTGGCTTTTTCACTACTGCCACTCAATGTTCTCACACAGAGGTGCCCGTGCCCATCACACAGCTCAAAGACTGTGTAGGGCAAGGTGACATTACCACGTCTCATTAGCCCCATTCCCATAGATCATGAGGTTTCCACTCGATTTTCCTGGAAAGTGTTTGGCCCTAGTTTCTAACTAGAGTTGCAGGGGTTGATTTGCATGGATCAAAAAAACATTGGAAGTTCCCCCGCTGTCCAAGCTGTGAGTTTCAGACCCTTGATATCCTTTAAGTTGCCTTGGCTCTCTCGGGTCTCATTATTCAATACACTAAAAATAGTGTGAGAGAAGCAGTTCTTGTACTACTGACCTGAAGGAAACAAATACATCTGTGAAGAAACATACCTTTGTGCAGTTTCCTACCTGCCTCCTAGACCAACAGAAACAATCCAAATTATTTCTCATACAATTCTTTCCTGTTTTACAGCTCTCTCACACTCACAATTGGCTCTAGATGCTCTGGTGTTCATTTTAACTCAGCCTGTTGACTCTTGCTGAATGTACCAGGAATGTTCATCAGACATCAGCAATATCACTGGCTATATAAAGCAACACCTTGATTTCTAATAATTTTGAAGAAGCTTTCTAGTATGAAGAAGTTTAATGGACACCAACTGCAGCACAATTGCAGCAGTTATTAAAGATGAATGTAGAAAACACAGAGAAGAGGTCATGACTGGACTTCGAGGTTATGTTTACAGAACTGTTTTTCCCAATGGCATAGCAGCTCTGCAGTCCTAACTCTCATTCCTCTCAGATGATCACTGATGTCTGGGCACTACCACCTTAGTTGGGTCAGTAAAAGCACTTTCAACGCTATCTAGACACTTCTGCAAACTCACCTAGGTTAAAAAAACCCTGCAGAGGCAAAACTCTGCTTTGCTGGTTTTGCCACCAACAAAATGCCTGTGGAAGCACAATACGTTTTCTCTTCTTGTGAAATAACTGCTTGGTGCACATTGTCTTCAAACCCCAACTTAAGTGGCTCCTTCAGCAGTGCAAAGAGTTCACAAGCTGTGCCTTCAAGGTTTGCTTCTCTGTTACAGATTACTGTGACTGATATGTGAGACATGGGCAGTATAGGGTGATGTAAACAGTCTGAACCTTGGCATTTCTTATCTAGTGTCAGCTTCAACTGGAGCCTTTATTGGCAGGCCAGCCTCATACTCCCTTCCCTCACCTCCACTGAGTTGGTGAAATTGGTGTCAGAAACCAATAAAAGCATTTTAAACACCACCAGGATAGAAGGACAGATTTACTGAGAATGTTTTTATGTAGCCACTTGACCTTCTAAATGGATATTTTGTACAGACATTTAAACAGACAATCTCCAGTGAGAGTACATACTGCCAAGAATTTATTTACCTCCTCTTTGGCAATGCGCATATCATCTGTAACATTAGAAAAAACTGTAGGCTGGATGAAATAACCTTTTTCTCCCCATGGAACTCCTCCACATTCCAGTTTGGCTCCTTCTTTTTTCCCACTCTCAATTAGCTCCAGGATTTTTTGAAACTGCTCCTTATCAATCTAAAGGAAAAGATATCACAGGGATAAAACCAGCACACACTGATAATAATTGGTCTTATAGCTCATTAAGAAAAACTTAACAATGTTTCAGCTTTGTTCAATTGCACATGTTGAAGTGGAACAGCTGGAGACCCCTGCAAAAAATCTTGTCAGTAACTTCTCAAAACTTCACAGGCTTTTCTCAAATAGAGCAGTAATCAGAAATTTTGACATAGGAGAACCAGCTGTACAGGGACTGATACCCTGTTTTTCTTTAGAAAAAAGAGGAAAAAAAATCTATAAAATTAATGTGCTTTATACTTCTCCCAGTACTTGCCAACTGCAAATGGTCCATCAAAAGAAAATTTGCTGAGCTTTATTCTGTAAAAATAATAAAGGGCTTGGTCTAAGTAGTGAGACTGTCCTGTACTTCACTAAGTCTGGTAGATTGGCCATGCTGTTTCCCTAAACTACTGAAGGAAGTTCAAAAGCAACAGTAAAATAGAACTGAAATTCAATGGTTTTTTTCAGTTCATTCTGGTTTACTAGTGGAATAAAGACACTTAACATGTGTGGTTTGAGAAACATAGATGGTAGACTGTCTAGGGTATGAAGCCAGTTTCTGTCCTTCCACTTGCCCAAGCCTGCCAACAAATTCAACAAATGCAAAGCATATTGCAGTTTGGCTCCATAGTATAGCAAAATGCATGGTCTTTGGCTGGAAAATGAGTTTGTAGTGGAAGTATAATAGAGACTTATGTTTGTCTAAGCTTTTCTAGTTTTCAGTGACAAAGAGGATAACAGGAAATCGTGTAAATTGGGACTAGAAACAGTTCATGTGTTGTTTCTTCTCCTCCTTTTCCAAATCAACCAATCACCACTTCAGACCTTAAGGGAAACTGCATAAGATAACAATTACGTCAAGAAAAACGCAGGAGTGAAGCTTGTTTGGTAGAGCCCTCTAACACCCTCTTACTTGTTTGTGTGGCTTTTGGTTTTTTTTCCTGGTTGCTCCATTTTAACGATTCTTTCCTTCAGTCTTTCAGAGTTCAGCCTTTCAAGCACTGGCTCATGAAGATACTGAGATAACTTCTAGGGGACTGTTGCAGAGAAGATTCTCTGTGATCACACTCATCAGTCAGCAGTGTAGGTGTGTGTCTTGGTATGTATCTTACTCTCTTATTCATGGAGTGAAAAGGTTGCATTTCAGTTTGAGCAACAAGTATTACCACGATCATTGGACACAAAAATATTTTCAAAGGTTCTGGGGAATCCTGAATGTGTATTAGACTAAACAGCTATTCAGCTAAAGCTGTGATAAAAGCCTATATTTATAAGGATATGAATTTATAAGGATATTTGTAAGGAGGTGGTTTTTAGTTCACTGTGCTTCCCTTGTCATTTTGCTTTCAAACAATTACATTACTGCATGCTGAAGACATAAAATTTCTGCTACCCTGGTGGCCAAATATCTCTTGTGCATAAACCTCTTGAAGAGAAGACAAGGTTTAGATGATATAGCTCATGTTGCTGTCAGTTGTTCCTTTGTTATTATTATAATCATTATTTTTCTTAATAATGTGTGAATTAGCATATATATGATCTTTTGCATTCCAGTAGGGCTTTTGGCTCTCCTTTGGTGCCTACTGTGCAAAGCATTACCCAAACTTGCTGCCTGAGGCAGGGGCTGCCCCATTGGGCCTGTGAACTGTAGGACAAATACAACTTTCAAGAAGTCTCCATGAAAAGAGAGCACAGCGAATATGCCAGATACAGGCTATCATTTTTTTGTTTCTAGAAAGAATTAATCAAAGCACAACAAGGAATTTGGAGACAAAAAGAGATATTTAACACAATTACCACAAAAGAATGCCCCTACACTGCATGGGTACAATTTTCCATTAAATAAGATTGTACCACTTCTAAAAGGAGAACTTTGCTAACCTATGAAAAAGTTTCTGCAAAAGCTTGCTAAGAAGAAAAAGAGGTTAAGATAGGCAAATGATGTGACTGGAGGAGAAAAGAGTCTTCATGCTATTTCAAATGTTTTTCTTTCTTTTTTCAACCTTTTTTCTTTTTATTTTTTTTTAAGTAAAAGTTTACTTTCAATTCCATTTAGATTGTTAGCATGAATTTCAAACTCAGTAGATCCACAATGACATGAGAGTGGATTTCTGTTAGTTTTGTATTAGCTGTACAGCAGACACCTGGAGCTTACTTGTTTCAATCTTCCCATCCTTTGGCATTTGTTCAGCTGAACATATAGCTTATTAACAAGACACACTGCAGGATACCAAAATAGCATCCTTAGTATTTTTAAATTCTCCAAAGCTTTTGTGGCATGGAATGCAGTTTTGCAATTTACTTCGTGTTGTTGATTACAGAAAATGACTGTGATAACAGATGAAGAACATGTAACTTTATCAAATGTGTGGGAGTTACTTTCTCTACAGCTTTTGCTTTGTGTCTATTACAGTTCTTTTATTCTAAGATAGTCAAATACATGCATAATAGCTCTGCCAAGAAGGTATATAGCCCATAGTACAAGCTGATATGGAAATAAGATTCTAGGTGAAAACTAATTTAACAATGGTCTAGTGTGATCTACTGAATCTACAGCATTGTGATAGCAATGTTTTTTAATGTTGCATTTTAGCCTTTACTTAATGGGGCAGCAGTTGGCATAGCCTGTACACATAAGCAGGAAAAAGTACAACATTTTGCATTTTGATTGTGCAATATTCTAAAACTGGGAGTAGCACAATGGAACAGTAACACCTTGAAAATGGGGAAAAGACACTATTAAATTTTATTTCCTCAAGCTACCCACTTACGGTGGCACTATTTGAATATAACATTAGTAATCTTTGACATAGATGATCACACTTGCTCTTTTACAGCAGTTGCATTGCAGGTTTCTAAAAGCATTTCAGTTCTATATTATTGTTCTGATTCCATAGTAAAAGGAACTACAAAAGAGAAAGAAGTCTCACCCTTAGGCCTGTGATAGAGCACAAACAACCGTCACTCCAGTTCTCCCCTGCCGGTCCCCTAGACTAACCACTATACAATTGTACTTCATCGTGACACTAATGCAACAATAGTTTTAGCAGTATATTAAACTGTGATGTCATGTCACAATTATATGGAAAGTACATAACATTACTTACTTGAGGGCCTTGCTGTACACCAGGCAACAGAGGATTCCCAAGAGTATACTTCTTTGCTCGTTCAATGCTCCGGCGAACGAACTCATCATAAATAGGCTCTTCCACAAAAATCCTAGATCCTGCTATACAACACTGTCCCTGGTGGTAGAACAGACCAATATGTGCAAATTCCACAGCGGTGTCCACTGCAAAGAAATGTAGAGTTCATCAGGTCATAAATTGAATGGTCACATCATAAATTCTTCACAGACCTTTATCACTGTATCTCCTTTCCCCCTTTAGCACTTTTTATTTTATGGCCCTTTAAAACACAGATATTCATCCATGGACTTAAGTCCAAAAACTACTCTTATCAAAGGTGGCATGGTACACCTAGACAAAGAGACATTCAGCTGTTCTATGTGAAATGTAGATTCAACATGTTTTGCCCTATCAGCAGTACCAAGAGAAAATTCATAAACCTGCACAAGATCCATCTAGCTGCTTTTTGTTCTGCATTCATGGTCCATTAGGATGATCTTTAACTACAGTAAGGGTGGACAGATGGTCAGAGGTTCGTATCCATTCAGGAGCTAACAATTTTTCGTGGCAATCTAACTTGAAACTATGGCATGACCAGAACACCTTAAAAATTACTCCTTCATTAAAAAAATACAAATAATTTACTGACAAAGAAAAGAAAAAGAACATGGGAATTGCAAAAGGAGAGGGTTTATATAATAAAAATGCTACTAACAGTCTGCATCCGCAAATATAATGTTAGGACTTTTTCCTCCAAGTTCCAATGTAACTCTCTTCAGATTGCTCTTCCCTGCTGCTTCTTTAATCAGTTTGCCAACCTAAAATGTAGGGAGAAGACAGCTTCATCTCAAAAAGTTTATTCTGACCTCAATAACACTTCTCTGAGTTCCTCCAAAGTGAAAATCAGTTCACAGTTGTCTACTATCCCAATATTTTTAGAAATTAAAAATAATAATAAAATAATAAATATATACATAAAAAATATATATAAGTAATAATAATAAAAAATAATATCTGCCTTTCTCTGTCAGCCTTCCTGCCTTTGTTTCTCACTGCTAAATTTCATTGTCGAAAGAAGAGGACTGTCACCAAAGTCTATGAATACACCTTCTGGTCCACCTGCCATTGGAGGGACAGGGGCATTGGGAATTGTAGTTGTTACTGTCCATTTGGAACATCTATGGGATATTTCTAAGATGTTGGGGTCTTGGGTTGGTTAGTTTCCCTGTTACTTTAAAACTAATGGTTTCTAAGAGTAAATACAGATCTTGTACTCAGCGCATACTGATCTTTGACACGAGACAGTGATATTTATCTTGGGAGTGTACATCCAAAAAGTTAAATGACCAGTTGGCAGCTCTTTGATGTGGCATACATGCACAGATACAATATAATGTACTGTGTTAAGGATATAGTGATATAATGCCTGCACTGAGAAATACCCAACTGTATCACTGACACTTCTTCAGAGAGAAGGTTAGGGAAAATTAGCAGTGACTTCCCTTCCAATTATTAAACTGATAAATATTCAAATACACTTCTAACACTACCCAGATGATCATCAGTATCATTCAAATACTAAAAAGCCAACACCTCACTTAAGTGTTTGCAGAACCAGCAATGAGATTTCTGAAGTACCCTCCTACAATCCTGTTAATAAAATTAAAGAGAATGGAGCACAGCCTGTTTCAGTTTTTGCATTTTTAAAAATAATTATTCTTAAAAAAATGAAGTAAACAGGAAGTTATGAAAACATTTTCTTTTTAGAGGAGAAGACTTAAAATAGCCTTGGTATACTAGAACCTATTGTATCTCATGGAGTGCCTTTGTTTGAAGGGCTTTCCTGTAATACAAACATTGTTTAAATATGTTCAAAGTTAATAGTAACCAACAAATCATTAAACAGACTTTGTTTAACAAACCAGAAGCCAAAAGAAAGAAAGAAGTTAAAATAGTTACATAGACCAAGTTAGACATTAAATCATTTGTGGGAATCAGAGGGGCACAGTTCCTGATTATATTTTCTTGCATTCATTATAGTACCTCTGTAGAGCCTGTGAAAGCTACTTTATCTACATCCATGTGGTGAGAAATTGCTGCTCCAGCGGTAGGTCCAAAGCCCGGCACAATGTTCACAACTCCAGGTGGAAATCCTGCCTGAATTGGAAGAGAGAACCCTGTAAATTTGGGAAGGATAATGACTAGAAGAACGTATCATATAGTCTTACTTCCCTTTTCAGTTCTCCAGCTACCTTTTCTCAGGCATACAGTTATTCTCAACCCTAGAGCCCCAAATGTGTTCATTCTTGCATGATTTATGCCCTCTTTTCCTCACTTTTATCATAGGCTATAGAACTGGCTTTTTTTAATAAAAAACAACAAACATTTGCTTTTAGTTTTTATTCATTGCCATTGATAAGGAATAATATTATTTTTTCTTTTCTCCCTATTGGATGTGTAAAGAAAAAGATTGCTTAATTTCATGTTTGCTTCATCAAAGCTATTTGAATCTTCCTGTGTGCTTGCTGACTTCTACTCATCGTCCCTCATGCTAGATGGAATTTAATCCATGACCTGCTGACTTCACTGAAATTCCATTAAGAAGGATGATGTAAATACTACTTCAAACTCAACATCTTTGTTTATTCTTTTGGATGTGGGTTGAAAGTAGAGAGTGGGCAACATGAGATTGTACAGCACAGAAGGTCCAGATCATCTACTAAACATAAGAAACCTGATTTCCTGAGATATGCACATTTCCAGTATTTTTAAATTTTCTATTTAAAGAGGCTTTTCTTGTGGGCCAAATCAAACCTACTGTTTCCCACCAATTCTATATTAGTTAATGTTCCATTCATAGGCAAAATAAGTTATTTTCTTCCAACAGCTTGTCAGGAAAACTTCCATGGATGTGTGAAGTGCAACTGGATTTCCTGTGGGTTTATAAAGCGGCTACAGGATCTCAATGGCACTTACGAAGCAGAGCAAACATGGAAGTAAAAGAACAAAATGATGCACCTCCTGTATTACCCCTTAAATTAGTCTCTTTTTAGCATTAAACAGGACTTTGGAATTACTTGCAAACGTTTTATTTTCATTCAGAAAATAGGGAATTTCAGCTGGTGTGTGACAGCTCCTAAACATCATTCCCTGCCTTATGGACACCAGACAATTACTTATGTTCAAGCAACTTCAGTTCCTTGCAGGTTTATGATCAGATATGCTCCATCAAAACTTTTTATGCTTATTTAATATTCTAAATTAAAGTTTACCCTGGAACTGATGAGGTGATGAGGTTCTTTCTATTTGCTTAGCATTGTGTTTCATACTTAATTCGTAGAGAAAAGTATGAAGAATATTATTTATGGGAATATTTCATGCTGTGTTACTATGGATATTTAATTTCCACATTTATATTAGAAGTTATTCTCTACGTATTAGCAAAGAAACCTTGTGAGGACTATTAAAAAAGATAGTGAAGATCACCAAAAGTTAATAATTTTTTTTTTTTTTTTTAACGTGAACACTTGAGAATTAGAAAGTTAAAGTAAATCTTCAGAAGGTTTCACAAAAAATGTCTAAAGAAGCTGCTGAAGTGACCACTGAGGTTTTGATCACTGTCAGGGATTTGGTCATCGACTTCATTTGGGTAATCCACCTGTAATTTGAACTCAACTAGATTTGGGTGAATAAATGTTGAAGGACTTGATAAGATAAATATTTGCCTGTTTTAAAGTTCCACAATATCCACTAGGTAATACACCAAATGCATTAAACAATTATATATTTAAGCTTCTTATCCAGTTGAACACAATGAATGGGTAGAATGAGACTCATCTTGCCTTTTACTAAAAATACTCTGGTGTTATAACAGTAACTACCACTCTGTAACTGTTGTAAGTGTGCATACAAAGATGACCACTGATCACATTTCCACTTATGAGCTGAGGAAATCAGAATATCAGAACACATATTTCATTAAACTTGGAGCAGAACTGAGTTAATTTCCATGAAAAGTTATTTTTTTCAGAAAAATATACTTTCTGATATTTAAAGTTAAAAATTAATAGAGAAGGTATTTCTGATGTATTTTTTAAAAGCAATTCCTCCTCTGTGATATTATCTAACAGCATTTACTATGTGATACTCCTTCCTGGTAGTCATTTAGTTTCTGTGAAATATTAACACATAACGAGTCAGTATGCTCTGCTGAATCATTGTTTTGAAGCAGAATAATAAAATGTGCCAAGTCATTTTCGTTAACTCTCTGCAAGGTTACTGTGGTGGTGATTATTGACATCTGTGCCAGCTTTTCAAACATGTTAGATTACATTTGTTGATTTTATTGGGAAGCAAGATAGCTGAACTATTTAACTGTTCTTCATTGGGTGTTTGCTGGCCTAGGCACAACAGTCAACGTAACTTTGGAGATACTGGAGAAACTACCATGCTCCTTGTGTCAAGAGCACAAAGTGTATTCTCCCAGTTTCTGTGTGAAGAGAGTTCAGAAGTTTGGCAGCAGTCACCAGTTCAATTTTACATCTCCCTGTTAATAAAAAACCCAGGTGGATGAAAGGCTTGTTCAGTTAAAAAACAATAATAATTAGCTGCACAAACAGGTCCTTTCTGTGATAACTATGTTAATATAGTAATTGCCACTGAACTCTAAGTACTCTGCTCTTGACTCCTCATTTACTTTTGACTTTGAAAGGTTCTGTGCTTTTGTAATACAAATATGTTTGCCAAAGAATTAAGTTTACTAAATTGCTATGGTGGATTTTTTTTTTTGTGTGTGGGGGGTGGGTAGGCTGAAAGATATGCATGCTTTTGCCCTGGATTTGCTTCAGTGGTTTACAGTAAGGTAAGCTCCATAGTACAAGGCTAGACATGCAAAGAGAAGTACTTGCAGAGGACAGTCTGGCTTATATTACCTCTGTGGCCCTTCAGCTTCACTATGTTCTTAGATTTCTGAGAAAGGCAAAAATCTCTGTTGTTGCCGACTTACCTCTTTAATTAAGGATCCCATGTAAAGGGCAGTCAGTGGAGTTTGTTCTGCTGGTTTGACCACTACTGTGTTTCCACAACAAAGGGCAGGAGCAATCTTCCAGATGAACATAACCAATGGGAAGTTCCACTGAAAGACAAACGAGAAGGTGTATCCTATTTCTCATGATCACCAAAATGCTTTCTGTTTTTTCTATGATAATAACACAAATTGTCAACTGGGTGGTTGAACAGTTTGTTGAACTCTCTTTAGAATGAAGACATTTTGCAAAAAGCAACTGACAATCTGTGTTATACAAAGACCAGTGATTTTGGTGTATGTGAGTCCAAGGGATTCAAAGTTTTCGTTAAGACCTCAAGAGACAATAAGTGTACTCCTCTAAGAAAGCCTTACAGAAAGTTGTTGGACTAGTGGTGAAATCGGAATTTTTGCTATCTTAAATGATCACATTCATCAGCAATTCAGTTTTCTAAGAGAAAAATCATAGAATCATAGAATGGTTCAGGTTGGAAGGGACCTTAAAGATCATCTAGTTCCAACCCCACTGCCATGGGCAGGGACACCTCCCACTAGACCAGGTTGCCCAAAGCCCTATCCAGCATGGTAATTATCAAATGGTAATCACATGTAACGCTGCCCCTGCCCTCTTCCCTGGACGTTTCACTGGCAGCTGGATGGCAGGGCAACTGACTCCTTTGGATCCCATATTCAGTATGAGGAACAATGTTGCTGGGGAAAAATGATTTGCCCCTTTGAGAATATTTCTAATAGTTTTGGAAGCATTGAGCCCATGAGCCTCATTACAAAAGATGCAGTGTGCAAAAAAACAAAAGTGGGGAAAAAGGCCGTTAACAGTCTTACCTTAACAAAAGTGGGGAAAAAGGCCGTTAACAGTTACCTATCATGTCAGAAAGGCTTGGAGGAGGACATGTTCTTTATCTGTCTCCTTATCTCATTTCATTCTCACCCCATCACCAAAAATTACAGGAGCACAAATAACACAAAGTAAGGGATTACAGGGTTTTCTGAATCTTCATCATTAAAGAGGAACTGTGTGAGTGGGAGGGAAATGGAACTGCTGAGCTAGGAAAAGTGTTTTGTGACATTCAAATAATCCACAAATTTTTCAGTTTATGTGAAAAACTCCAACTTGTTGAGTTCACATTTCAATGAAGTGGAAATCAAGATATACTCAGAAATCTTCAAACATTTTATAAAGGAAGTCAGTGTTTGTACTAACTGCTTATACTTCCAGAACGCATTTTTTTTTTAAAGTGGCCACATCTAGTCTTCTAGTGGTCTAGTTCTTTAGCACATCTTGACTCTGAGTGCTTTACTTGAAATACCCTGTGCCGAACATATAAGAGAGTCTAAACCAGCAGATCCCCAAGTATGAGGCCGGATACATATTCCAGTTATGTTCTCTAAATCAACGTGGTGTTAAAAAGCTATAGCACCTCTTCAAGCTTAACTGAAAGACATCAGGAACATGTGTGGGATGCACATGCCTGAGCAAACCTGATAGACAAGCCAACTATTTCAGCATCTGGTTGTCAAGCAGGTCAGGTCAGGCTGCCCACAGCTACCATGCGCAAAGAGGTGGGTCGATTGAGAGTGTTTAGTACCTATAACCATTTTCACAACAACCCATTAAAGATATGTAGACCTCATAAATAAGTTTAAAAGTTGAGTTCCTCAGTGTTTTAGATGTTCAGACTCAGGCAAACTTTTTGAATCTTCACTTAAAATAAGTGACTTCAAAACTGGGCATTTAGAGACACTCTGAACAAGAGCTTGGGAACGTAGGGCTTAGTATCGTTGTGCTTATTGGACACATTGTTTGTGTTGTTACTTGTACCATCTACATGGTGAATGACTCTTAGTCATAAGCAAAGATCCAGCTGTCTGGGTGCTATACAGAGCGGAACAGACATTCCAGGTCCTAAAAAGCTTATTGCTAATAGGCTGTAAATATTGCTCTCTCCTACTTGTTTATTACTAATTCTTTCAGTTCCAGCAAAAGACAATCCTGTCTTTCAAACTAATCCATCATTTAACTTTTTGAGATTTATTTTCCCTCCATATACAGGGAGAACAGAGATGAGGCTGGACTGGACTGACTCATCAAAAACTCTATGTTGCACAATTTGATGAGTTCTCAGGATAGTCTCTGTCTTTTAGGATTTGAAAGTTTCCAATTGGTAGTGATTCATAAATGCACTTGCATAGACAAAATTTCAAAAGCATTTCCATTTGTAACAGTAAAATTTCTGTTTTACATTTTTGTAAGGCTCCAACTTACAGGAATAATTTGGCCACAGACGCCAATAGGCTCATGTCTTGTAAATGTAAAAAAGTTTCCATCTATGGGAAGAAGAAATAAATTAGAAGTTCAGAAAAAACATTTGTGAGAAACATTTAAATCAGGAAGAAGATAAAGTTGGATACTAAACTTAGCTGGATACAATTTTACTTATAAATGATATTTTCAAAATGTTAACTATGCAAAAAAACAACCATAAAGTACATCTGGATCCAATATCTGCTTTCTTTATAGCTCCAAGGTTTGATTCTGCCAGTCTGACTGACTTTCTGCAGTGATAACCCCGCTTCTCAATATGGTATGCACAGCACACCAATGAGCATTCCTCTTTTCTTTTTCTTTTATCACCTTTGTTTTCGGAAAGTGCTCTTTCAAAAACTACTTGCAATCCTAGGTACATATCAGACATTTTTTTAATATTTGATCATAGCTTAAATCAAATCCATTAAGTATAAAATTCTCTTTGATTCGAATAAACATGTGTTCCATTAAGCCTAGGATAGAGATCTATGTGATGCAAAGAAGTTGGAAGTATTTATCACTCTAGTTTTCCTTAATTCCTTCTTTATTACCATTCTTTTCTTTGTCCTTCTGAGAGAACGAAGCTAGAAACAATGTTTTCATAGAGCTGCTTAATGGGAGAGGGAAGGGAATGAAATTTCAGCAAAATAAAGGAATGTTTCCTCATTCCTATCTCTTAATACTCTTCTTAATACATTATCCAATAACTGAAACAAATATTACTTTTTGCGTTAATCTTAGCTTTAGTAAGCAAATACCTGGTTTTCATTACTGTACCATTGTATAAATTATATGTTGCTATGCAAGAATAACCTACCAGACTTCTTAGATGTACATACAGGCTAAAATCTTTTGGTTAATAAACAGTACGTATTACTGGTGTATAGAACAAGAAATAAATGTGAATAACTGCAGTAAATGCTTAAAACAAACACTATGCTAAATCTTAAAGAACCTATATTAAGAACTATCCAAAATATTTTCCATCTGAGACACTTTTTGTGTTGCACAACTTTTAGAAAAAAATATTTTTTTACAGATAACATTGGCTTCAGTCCTGTACTTTTGTTATCTCAAAACTACTCACCCATTGGAACAGTACGCCCATGGATTTTATCAGCCCAGCCTGCACAGTAGCGTAACGTTTTGATACAGGCACCTAAATCCATTAGGTAGGCAGTGGAAAAGAGTTTCCCACCATCAATGGCTTCCATTGTCTGCAGACAAAAGCAATTACAAAGTTAATATCAAATATTGATAATGGTTCTTATGCTTGTACTTTGTCACCTAGCTTTTGGTTGTTCAGTTCAGAGGTTCTCAGCTTTAGCACAAACTTTTGGATTAACTCCACTCTGAAGGATACTTAACATTTGAAAAACCCAAGGTAGCAATTTACAAATGAGAAATTTTCATGATGGTTTGTTCACAATGGGCTGTGCAAATAACGTGATCATGGCACATTTGTATGTTAAGAAGTTCTGAAAAAACAATAACATTCCTCCCATCTGAGTCAGTTACACTGTTCTTGTTTATCTTACATATTTTACAAGTGTAGATGAAGAAATCAGCCAGGAATCTATGCAACCAACTGATGCAAATAAAATGAGTGGCCTCCTTCAGCCTATTTGCATTGACACCCAAGGTAGGCAGTAGTTTCCTGGAAATTCACTGTCGCATTGACTTAGGATCTTGTGGTTTTTAATTATTAAGGAACACCTTTCTAGGCACTTAATTAGCAACTTATATGAGGAAGAAGACTCAAAGCATAGAATAAAATACTGCAAATATACATTGAGTGTTTGGTGTGAAAAGGAAAGATGTGCACCATCAAGAACCTTTAACTTAGCAAAATTCAATATGACAAATAAACATTTACACAGAAGCTTTTATTGGCTAACTACTAATTGAGTTAACTAACTGGTCCTATTTGAAGCCAGGCCTGATTCTCCGTAGCATAGTTCTCCATTCCAGGCAGATACAAACCTTGAGAATAATAATAAGCAAATATTCATTCAACATTACAACTTTTCAGTTGATCAATTCTGTTCCACCCACAGTGCTTTAATGACCCACAGAGACACCAGTCCTAAATAGGGTTGATTTCCCGCCAAATTTGGGACTGTAGTTTGGATTTATGCCAATAAATCTAATACCCCTATATTGTTGGGACATCTAGTTAAAGACCATTCTTAAGTTCTTAAGTAGTGTCAACATCTTTTTGACAGTGTTGGAGTTTTTTGTACACTTTCAGCTTTGTGAACAATCCTGTTAGGATGCTTTATAGGAAAATCCCTAACTACAGTGTCAAGATCTAGTCAGATCTTAGAAATACTTCTAAATTCTAAAATTCTTTTCTAAATTAGTTATTCTGTATGTCTAAGGTGCTTTAGCATTTCAGGCTGAGTTTGCAGGCTGACCCTGCAAGCATAAACACCTCCCCTGCGAAGTCTGCAGTTATAGTTAACTGGACACATTGCAGATATAACACCTGGGAAGAGAACAAAACAAACGCAGAAGGCAGCAATGCTTGATAGCTTTTAGCAGCAAGGAACTGATTAAACGAGATACGCCTTTGTCATTCCAGGCAATATATCTGGCACTGTGTTGTCCTGTGTGGACAAGTGAGAATATCCTTTCCTGGCGTCAAACTTATGAACTCTATAGCTTTGAACATCACAACAGACTGGAACATAAGAAAAAAAATTCTCAATAGCTCTTTCAGTAGCCTGCTTGTACTTATTCTTCCAGTAGGATACCTATAGGGTTGTTGAGCCTCTGGAGCTTAAGGAGAGGCACCTTACCATTATGTGAAACACTGAAATGGAATAATTTTGATCCTGGCCAGATGTACGAATATAGAAAAATGCATTTACAATGAGCTTAGGGTTCTATTTTGACCACTAGTGTTTACAAGGTTACTTGCTATTCTACAGCACTAGTTCTGCAGTTAGGATAAGCTGTGAGTGTAGAAAATCTCTCTCCATTTTGAAGGTCTGGAAAGCATTTAATTGAAAAGCATTTTATATAAAAGGGAAAAGTTGTCTATAGTGTAAGTAAGCTGTAGAAAATAAAAACAGTCAGTAAAATAGAAAATTGGGAGAGGTCCCAGAGAAAGAAATACTTTCATATTTTGAAAATGGCAAATGGGAACACAACCTGAATGCTTCAACTTTCCTGTAGAAAAAAAACTATTTCTCTATCCTCTTTGCATGTGTAATATCTTAGGTTGTACAATAAAGAAGTAAATACCAGCTTATCCAGTATTTAACTGACAAGAGAACATACTTTTCCTATTAAAAATTTAACTCCCTTAAAATATGTCTCAGTGCCAGTAAATCTGCTCTTGTTACAGACACAAGTTATAGCCACCCAAGTTTTCTTCTGAAAAACTAGGTGATCATTAGTCCCTATCAAGGCGACAAAATTCATTTAGAAAAATAATTTAGGTGAGGAAAAGTATAAATTTGGAAGTTGCAGACTTTGAAGTTCAAGGAAATAATGTCAGTTCCTTTGAAGTTTCATTTTTCTTTTAAAAACCTGTTGGGGATGGATGCAAGTGTCTTCCTATACTGCAGCCATAAGGACAGTAGAGTGGACAATAGATTCTTTGCAGGTTTTAGATATTTTGAAGATTTAAGTTTTATGAACTTATCAGTGATGTGAATGTAGCTAATGGCGAAACACTTCAAATTGTGACTCGATCAATCTGAATGGCGATCCTGAGTGTTGGATACTGCTTTCCTGCTCTCTTAAATTTTAACACTGTTTGGCAGAAAACCAGGGTTCATCTTCAGGATAGTGCAAACAACTATCCTGCCTAAATATTAATTCCAGAAGGGGCATGAAACAACAAACTTGTCATCTTAATGATAGCATCATATGTGGAGTTTAAAACAACAGTGAGGGGTACTACCCTCTATCAAATCAGTGATACATTTCTTTTCTAAATGTTTGTTGTTGCCTCAGTGCACAATCAGTAGGTGTTGGTGCTGTAGCCTATGTGTCTGCTGTTAAGAGTGGTAAAATGACCAACACAGAGTAGGTGGTAAAGGCAGGAGACATTCCCCACCCCATGTATTCTTCCTACTGATAAGTAATTCACTGCTGCTTTTGGTTCTGGTTCTGGTTTTTCACTCATTGCCAGTTGCAAGCTGTAGTTAATGAAGGACCAGTGCTAACAAAATACATAGGCATGAAATTCAAAATTTCTTCCAGTTTTGACTTCTATCACCTGTAAGACCCGAGCCAGGTTTTGAGTTTAGGCCTTGATTCAGGCCTTGGTTTAGTGAAGTGTTAAGGTGGTCAATGTTAGTGTGTCCTTAAGTATCAACAGTTGAAATTGTATCAATTGTGGATGGCCTAAGTGTCATCTTAAAGCTCATCAAATACTCAAGTACTTTGTGGATGTGGGGTATTAGTAGACCAGAGTGCAAGCCAGGTTAATAAGGTCCATTTGCAATACTGTAGAAACAGAAGTATTGAGACAGCCTGACTTTCCAAGGATTGAGTATGTTACGCTTGCTTGCTTATATCTTTCTTTAAAAATCAGGACATAGGCTTTTTTCCCAGACTTTTTGTTCATGTATCAGACTCACCGCTAAAATCAGCCGATCTCTTTCAACTAAATCAGCTAGTTTATTCAAGAGCCTTCCCCGCTCTGAAGCATCCATTGTACGCCAGGGTGACCCAAGCTCAAAAGCTTTTCTAGCAGCTTTAACAGCCTTGTCAACATCTGCCTGTGGGGAAAACAGAGAAACTTTTATAATCAATAATTGATTCTGTCATCAGTCTTGTTGGTTGTTAAATGTGCAAGGTGCTCTGCAAGATAAATAAGAGACACCAACCCTAATCTAATCAGAATTGGTCCGGTAATGTTAGATACATGGGTAATTTTCTTTCCAACACTTCTGCTAGCATTTCAGCAATGTGAGGTTGTATGAGAAATGGATAGGTTCTCAAAGCTTCTAAAATAAAAACATACTAAGGAATTCCATTTTTAAAATTTACGTTTTCAAACCCTCTGCCTTCTTATGTGTGTAATTGGGGATACACCCACCAATTACACTGCTGATGCAATTCAATCTCTTCTATGTACAAAGAGATGCCCAAATCTGTAAGTTAAATATCTAAGCACTCGATATTATCTAAAAGTATCCAGTGGTATGATGAAGACCAGGTTAGAAAAATCTGTTAGAGTGTTTCATAAAATTTATTATTGAAGAAGACAAATCTATGTATTTATTTTCAAAAGTTTTAAGGAACATTTATTTTAAAATATTTAAGGTATTTAAAATAATTTTAACAACTAACTCATTGACCAGGTTTAAAATGCTACGCCTAAATGCTGTGAACTTTAAGCATTGTCTTTGCATGAAACAAGATAATTCATCAGTGCATTAATGTTTTTTATAGCATAATTTATTATTTATCATTTGGTTTTTCCTAAAGCAGGAAAATCTACAATTAATTATATGAAACTCTTTTCTGTGTAAGGGTGTTCCAGGATACAAAAACCCAACTAATAATCTCTTGAGAAATGGCTTTTGGTACTTGGAATTTTTCCATATTTCACAATTTGTATAAAAGTTTTCTAAGGAAAATAATAATAATAAAATAGGGGGTTTATTCTATTTCTTTATTAGAAATTAAAGATATATTTCAAGGAAAAAAAAAGAGGAATCTATACATGGCAGATTTCCCTGAGCAATTTGCATGCATTGTTTAAAGGATTTCTTTCAAACATTTTTTTTTTTTTTCTGTACTGCTGATTGCCAGAATAACCTCAATGCAAATCACCATTGAGGTTAACTAAGTCAGCAAAGTTAACTAAGTGAATCCCAAAGTCAATTGTTCGGAACCGGATCTTGAATCTTTAACTGAAGTTGGAAGCCAACAACTAATTTTTAAAAGCCAGGAATGAGGTGAGTGAGTGACTTGGAAAACCCAGCACAGATGTGCTAGACAGGAGACCCACAGAACTTCCCAGAGTTCTTTCCAGGAAATTTTGGAAAAAGAGAGAAAGGATGTCTACAAATAGCACAGTCATTACTCTAGGCTAATAATGACCAATCACCTATCTCAGGTAGCTGCAATTTACCGGATGAAAAAGAATTATTTTTCTTCAGAATCTGTCAGAATGTCATCAAATATCTCATCACTTATTTGAGACCTGGAAAACCATATTCAATGAATATTTAATTAATTCTATTTTTTTCTCATCTCTTTCTAGCATAACTGTGCTACAGCTTTGCAATATGGTTTAGGGTGCATGCCTTGGCCTTTACTGGAAATGAACTAGCAAAAAACATGTCATACTTATGTGAATGATGTAAATTAAAACTAAATACAGTGGCAAGTGTTCTTTCTACTACAAGCGCAGAAATAGTTTAAGCCAAGAAAAGATTATATAAAGCTAATATAGGGCTGTGAATGAAAAGGAAAAAAAAATGTTCTTCAACTGTATGAAATTTAATTTGGGTATATAAATCTACACCATGAATATAAAGGCTGATAGCTCCTTCCAGAGCTAGCTTATTTTACAGAAATATATTTACTTTACATCCCACTGACCATTTGTTGAGCTGTTTTATTTTTACTAGGGGCCTTTAGGATTAGCAAATGTAGCTTGAAAGAGCCATCAAACTGAAAGGAAAACAGTTCCCACCCACATATGTGTCTGTCCTTTGTAATCTCACTTGTTTTTTTTAAATACCACTGCAAGGCAGTGTACAGCCCTTTGTCAAGCCTATTGTACACACAAATTAAATTCCTAAAATCTCTTGGCTCATTATCTAAAGACTAGGCTCTAGAATATTAGGTTCACAATGACTGTGTAATTTACTAGATTTGTACATTTCACTTGGCAATTTAGTTAATAGCAGTTGTCATTACACATTAGTTTGCAAAATTATTGGAGAGAAAGCAAACCTGTGTGTCGAACAGTATTATCTCTTTATTTAACAAGTCGTTAGATTGCTTGTAAGGAATGAAAGCTACAAAAAATTCTGAATGGTAAATGAACAGTTGCAGGTCATGAGTAATTTAATTTGAGGATGATCAAATATTGGGCCAGCCTGATCTGCAATGCAATTTGTTTTTTAAACACTGAAAGGAGAATAAGTAGAAGTAGCATTTTACATCAAAAGCTTCTATGGTTCTAGTGGGATACGACTCAGCAGTTAACAGCATGCTTATGAAATGCTTTGGCTGAGAACAAAAAAAATCCTGAAATAATCTCAGTGACTCTGAGCACTATGTACAAGTAACTGGGACTAAAGAAAAGCAAGAAGGCAGCATTTGAAGAACTCATTATTAGATATACGAAATGATCAAAAGCCAGATTCATGCAGACTTTCTCAGCCATCTTTGTCTAATAAAAAGTTTTAAATGGGTCTTCACCATTACCTTCTTAATAATGTGTAGTGACTATTGCTCCTGTGCTAGATGTTTGAGCTGAAGCTTATCAAGAGATTCACAGTGAAATTGCAGAACAGAATAACTATGATTCAATGAGCACAGGATGTTGAATGAACTGGGTTTCTATATATTTCTCAAAGGAGCATTTCATTTCAGAGTGAATCTGTACAGGAAATTAAAATATTCTGAAAGAGATTCTGCTTTTTATATTGGCAGGAAATTTTTGGTGAACTTACAGCACAGATAAATGGCTTACAAGTTTTATAGTAGTTCTCACGGATACAAAGGTGTTTAAAGGACATTTTGCTACTACATTTAAAGCACGCTTATCATACAAATCATTCTAAATATCCATATTTCTTGACTAAAATGAATATCAGATTTCATTTTTTGAGAAATGTGAGAAAATTTTCTCACATTTGGATGTAAAAATTTTACTTTGAAGGGGAAAGTGTTGAAAATGAAATAAATATTTGCAAGAACCAAAAGTGTAATTATAAAAATCATCACTTTTTCTATGCACGTGAACTGGGAAAAAAACATTTATTTCTCATACTTAATTTCTCAGTGTTTATAAAAAACTTACTTGGTCATAGGTTTTAAAACTATTAAAGCAACTTTATCTGTTCTGTTAAAAAAACTAACACCTTTACTTGATAACTTACATTTAAACTATATTGTAGTAGTAGGAAAGTAGGAAAGTTCTTTTCAGCAGAAAAACACATAATATGACAAAAATACAGAGCTGCTTATTTAAGAGCTTCTATTTTCATTATATTTTTGATTATGTGGCATCTCTCTGTAATTTTCAACTAAGAAACCTCATAAATATGAAAACTAAGTGTTTGTTTATAGGTGCCAACTACCTTTTTAGTTCTTCACCTAAATTCACCAATTCAACAAGCTGTAAGGAAACCAGTTTTGGTGAAATTTGTAACTATTTGACAGGTTACCTTCAGCTTCAGAGACTTCATTAGGACTATGTTCCAATACATTTTTCATAAAACCAAATTTTTGAAGGGGGTAGTAATGAGAATACATATTCATAGTTAAAATTCTGATGGTAATGATCATCTTTACAGTCTGTGTGGGAAAATATCCATATTCACCCATTTCATGTTATCTATAATGAAAAGCCTTGTATAAATGTGTAATGAACAGATTACATCACTGTCAGGAGTCAGGAAAAAATAACAAAAAAAAATAGCCCCCAAAAATTAAATTATTAGATGTCATTAATCAAAGATAACAAAAAGAATTGATATTATTAACAAAATATATTTAAAAAATTAAAAATTAACAAAAAATATTTCTTCGGAACTTTCTTCATATGAACAAGGTCCTAAGAATAAAGTGGTTTTTCAGTATCTTCTACAAACAATTTTAAGGCTTCATAAAAAAGCTAAGAATTATGCTTGCAGCAGAAGGTATACGGGATGGGTACATCTATGAGGTGATGTTTTGCATCAGCAGGGACAGATGCTTGTCATCTTCCTGCTTTTAAAATGCAGAATTAAATTTAAAGCTAGAATTAAGAGCAAGAAAGAAAAACCTACCTTGTCACCTTCTTCAACCTCACAGATTTTCTCTTCATTTGCAGGGTTAAAGACTTCAAATTTTTTACCACTGATCGAGTCATGCCACTCATTGTTTATAAATATCTGCAGAGGAAGATACAGTGTAAAAATATCAGTAACATACATATAGCTGTTGTCTGTTATCTGTTTGATTGAATAAATCTAGCTTTCATAACTGAGAGCTGCTTGATTGATACCTGAATTAAAATTGGAATAGCTGTTTCTACGCTATTCTGAAGAGAAACCATGTATGCACTTAACCAGGAATGGCTTTTTAAAATTAACTTAATTTGGAGAAGCAAACTATTTCTCTCCGTGATATTTTCACTTTGTTTCACATCACAAAAAGATGATGTTACAAAGTGGGTCTTCCCTCTCTCAAACTGTGATGTACAAGGGAGGTAACAGCCCAGTCTGACCTACCTAAAACTACCTGGGTTTCCTACACTAATGGGGCTGCTAACAATGGAGGGTCTTTCTATTACAGGCCTCAACAGAAGTAAACCCAATCCTTGGGTTTAGTATATACAGTGCAGGTAGTATCTTGAAGAACACTTCTTTGTTTAGTTTTGCTTTGATTTCTTGTCACTCTTTCCTGCCAAAAAAAAAGAAAAAAACAACAAAAAACCCCTAATAGTATGATTTTCTGAAATTAAAGTCTAGGCTAAAAAAAACCCACCACAGTTAATTGAATGAAACAAACACTGAGGCTGAATAAAAAGAAAGCAAGTATACTTCTGTATTTTCATGTTACAGGGGAAAAATAATTAGGGATTAAGGAGAGGCTCTTTTCTTTTTCAGCGAAGTTCTTTGGCATTGTGGATTGGTGCTTCACTGAATGTAACCCTAATCAAGATTTCACATCAGAAACATAGTGCTCTTAATCTTTTCCAGAAAAAAACAGAATTTACTCTGGTAAATAAAGATAGGAATAATGAATCAAGAGGAAATGGCTGATGTATTCGCCAGAAGTACATTGTTAGCAAACTCAGAGAAGGGCTAGACTGTCCTTGCTGTTGGTAGCTGGTGCATTTCACAGAGACATTCTCTTAAAAACGCTCTTAGCAGCCCAAACTGGGAGAAAAGTTCTCTCATATATAATTGTTACCTTGAGAACAAATTGAATAACTTTATAGATGAAATTTCTTCAGTTGCTAGTTTTCTGTCTGTCCTAATCTTACAAGGAAAGGAGGACTAACCTTCCAGATTGAACCAGCACATACCAAATTGTTTGTACTGGCCAAATTAAAATGTCCAAGAGCTGACAATGAGGGGAATTTCAAGGGTGGCTTATGGGGAGAAGATGACTGGTCCTCAGCTATGCATATAGCTCTATACAACCCAATAGGCCCTAGAAGAAAGTATATGAAAAAGAGTGGCACTTCTGGTCATAGTTTTCAAAGTCTTCTTTTGGAAAAACTATTTGGAGGATCTCAATCTGAATATTTTCACATCACAATGCTGTTATTTGCCAGGAGCTGTAGTATGGATGCTGAAAGTGCGGTTGTGCTGTATTACCATAACCCTGCAGTCAGCCTGTGAATATGGTCATACAAACATACAGCAAATGTGGATGCTGACAGTATATATGGTCTCACAGCTCATGAGGATTACAGTTAATGGTCATGTATATGTGAGGGCTCTTTTCTTTCCCCTCCCTGTCCCAAAGCTTCTCTGCAAAACACCAGGAATTCCAACCTCTCTGGTTTTGGTCTTCAGCACATGATGCAGTTCCTGCTTTTGAAGGGTGAAGCTACTTGCCTCGTATGACTTCAGGATTTGACAAGATGATTCTTGGTTAACCATTTAGCTGTCATTGTTTTACAACCAGTATGATTATGTTCTGTTTAAAGTGATCATAACCATTTAATGTTATTTATTATTTATTCAATAATTTCTATCAATATCCTGATTACCTCCAATATGACGTCATACTGTGTTTTGCAGAGAAGCTTTGGGAGCAGCCATTACTTCTGTAATTTTGATAATTTTTCATACTTTGTTCCAACTCTGAGTATCTCTGTTACACCTCTACACTGAATTCCCTCAGGACCACCACTCTTGATTTTCCAACCTCCCAGACATCACTTAACCAGGTTTACTAATCTGTTGCCTTCATGTAGAACAGCCATATACCAGGAAACCCAGGCCATCATGCATTGCTTGTTTAACTGTTTTCTCCTGACTTTTACCTGACAAAGATGGGAAAAAAATCTAACATAAAATCAAAATAAGCTAAAATAGTACTTTCCTCACTCATGTTAGAGTACCCTGTTCTCTTATAATCTATTTCAAGCTTTTCCTAATGCCAAACTTATAGCTAGCAATTTAGCACAAAAGAACAACAATTGCACAGCAGCTGACCTATACTGAAGTTAATCATAATAGCTTACCCAGCAGCAATGAAATTGATATTCAGAGTTCACATAATAAATGTTAGGAACTGTGTCCTTACTCAAAGATTAAACTTTTATACTGGCTGAAAGCACATTGTGTACTGAATTTACTTTGCATGGCTAGAACAAATACCAGCAATTCTTGATTGCAACATCGCTGGCACTCTTAGAACATGACCTAAACAAAGCAAGGTGGGCATTGTTGTTTCCCATATTGAACTTTTTATGATCCTTTTGCGATATAATAGCCACAGAAATTCAAACCTAAGCCCTTTTGTATGGGGATAAGTAATTGGCAAGGGTACGGTTACAGCTGAAGGAATAATTAGAAATTTGAAATCCTTATAAAGTCAGTCTCATACAAGAATACTTTCTCCAAACACAAAATTCCCACCATGTCTTCTTTGCTTTTGCTATCATTTTTGTTGCCTGTTTGGTATGGCACTTTCCTTCTCTTTAAGGCTCTGGTGTCCTAATTTCAGTTATACTATATATATCCCTTAAAAATATGTCCAAAGAGGGTTTTGGGACTGAACAGTCCTGCATCTCTCTAGGTTTTTGGTTACTGAATATTAATAAGACTCTTTGTGAAATCTGCAGAAATTAGTCTTCTTTTCAATTAAAACAAACAAACAAACCAGGAAATAAAGCACTTCAGTTGTTCCTGAAAAATCAATATTTTTCAACTGTGTAAGGAAAATATGCCACCATACACACTATTCCAAAAAGGTAAATGTTGTCTTTTAAAATAGGCACTTTATAACATTATTAAAATAAATATGATATTTCTGTGTTTTCTTTCATATTAAAGATGATACAAAACAAATCGATTCAGCAATTTTGAAGTGACAGAGAATAAAAAAATCTATTAAAAATATCCGATAATTTAGTTGTAGTTACTAGGAAATTTGATGATATTACACAGCAGTGAAAATTTGGAGGGCAAGCAGAGTAAGGCTAAGGAGCTCTGGGTGACATTTGAGGTACTTATCCCTGTTCACAAACACAAAATAGAACCTGGGCCTTATCCATAGTGCACAATATCTGTTCTACCCTCCCAAAGAGATGCCATCTTTGAGACACTGCTGATGAAATTGTCAAAATGAGTTAACCTTTTATTTCTGACTCTGTGGATTAGCCTAGAAATGAGAGGAAACCTCATTGGAAAGATTGGATACATGGCACAGATGTTGAAAGGAGGAGGCTTTGTTACTACCAAGTGCAGTGTAGGTTGTTCTTTAAAGTGGACATGATATTGTACACAGTCCAATCTTAACAATACCTGTCATCCTCTCTCTAACCATCTCTTCATTCTCTGTCTTCTGTTCAGTGCAGGAATGGGATCCCTACCCAAAGGCACCCTCCCAGTGCATGAGCCCACCTTCTTGCTGCTGATGGGCTGGTGCTCTCCCTTCTCACTCTCTCTCAGTGCCACTGCAATGCTGCGTATGTGAGATCTTGATCGTACTTGTCATCAAGACCATGGCAGCCTCTGACTGGCTGTACTAGGTATTTTGTGCTCAAACTGTTCCTATCTTTAGTGTCACGGCATTTTGACAGACCTTTAGTCACCAGAGCTTAGCTGTGAGACCAACTAGCAGAAAAGATGTGATTTCCATTTCCATTAGGATAAAGCAGAGGATAAAGGAGCTACTCTGCTACTGCTCAGAGTAGCAGGAATATTTAAATAAAAAATAATAAAATACTTTGGGGCAGGTAAATCAAAGCAAATTATTGCTTTGCTTGCAGTTTTTTTGCAGGACAAAGTCAAGACACCAAAACTGCCAGATAAATGCTTTTTGTTACAGAGACCAGGGTTTTAAATCCTACAACCACAGATGTAATGAAAACACAATAGCTTTCAGGGAACAGGTTTTTTGCATATTATTGAAATTGCTCACACTGACTGTCTGGATGGTTGTTAATAAGTGATGAATAGCTTGGTAGTAACTATCCAGGTCAGTAAAAGTATTATCTCTAAATGGATATGGTAATAATTTTCTATTAAAATATTCCTGTATATTTCAGCTTGTTTATATGGGCGCACTGTATAAAGAGTGCCATTGCTGCCTCTGACAATCAGGACTGATGAGCAAACTGCTGATATAACAAAAGCTGCCAGGGAAATAAATATGTAAGTAAGTCCCTGAAAATTTCAGATATGTCATGAATTTGATTATAAGAACATCCACACAAAATTCTGACTGTTATGAATGGGCAAAGTCAGCAGTTAAATGGTTAATATGAAAAAAGCCATCTTTAGTAACTAGCTCCATTGCCAAGAAAAGAGACAAAGTAAAAGGTAAATATTAACATAACACTGCTATGATGTTACAGTATGCCAAATTCATATCTGTCTCTGAAAGGAATATTATCAAAACATACCATTTTTGGAAGTTTTTAAAGTATTTGTTTAAATACTACATTTATTGCACCAAGCAGTATCACCCATAATATTAGTTTAGAGTATCGTTCTTATTAATGTTTCTAATACCATTCCCATTTAGAGCATAACTTCATTATATTAAATATATACACAACACTGTATCAGGGTTGTATAAATCAAACTATCCAGATGTCTTCCGTATGCTAGATAGCAGGCTCGCACATGCAGGTATGAAAGACAGGAAAAAGAAGGAACAATTCAAAACTGACAATGCACGCAGTGTTACCTACTTTGCAGGCAGCTGCACTCATAAATGTGCATGCAGCCACGCTGATTTACTGCTGTGGAGTGTATGCTGCAAACAAACACGACGTGGATCTCTCAAACCAGGCAACATGGAAGTACCAGCCAACAGCGGCAGCCTCTGGTGGTGACTCCCCTGCCCCGCTGAAGAGAAACATTTGTGATCATCTTGCAATAGGTTGCAGTGGTTTGTCTGTCAGGCAGAACTCCACTGCAGCTAAGGGGTTTTTTTTTTTGTGCTCATTTATCAGACACAAATGTGAAAGACCTATGCTTCTGTGGCATGTGCTGTACCGAGGGTTGTCTGTGATGACATGAGACTTAGGGCTGCAAATTTATTCTGCAAGGATTTAGACATGTTGTTGCAGGCATTTTGTAACTGTTATTTCACTGTTATTTTTAGGAAAGGAGACAGTTTTTATTTCAACAACCCCAAGAACTGATGACTTTCAGACTTCTTTGCACTAGAATTAGGAATACAAATTTCTTGTAGATGGAACTGCACACTACTAAAGCTTAGTATTTAAAATAGAGCCCAGGTAACAGGCTATTGCAGTCAAAAAGCCTTTGACAGTCTTTATTTCCCAGTGTCAGATTGCAATAAAGTCTTAATTCTCTGAAATGATTGATTTCAAGTTCAGACAGTTTGATATCAATCACCATTTGAGGTTGAAGGTATCTGCAGGACTACAGTATATCTGTCATTGTTTAGATAGTTGATTTTGTTACTCAAGTGACCTGAGAAGAGAAGAGAAGAGAGAGACAAGACCTTCTCTTTGCTTTTCTCGTTATCCCAGTGCTTTTTTTTTCCCTTCAGTCCTTGAGTATTTTGAAAGGATCATGAGTTCATTATGTAAAGTATCTGCTAGATAGGAAGTGCCATATTTGTGTCTGTGCTGCATGAGGAAAGAAAGTATTTGACTCCAGATAACTTTATCTCAGATAGACAACACCATAGGTACACTGAAATAGATTCTAGGGCCTCTGCATTTGGTGCCATCACCTTGTGAAACATTCTTGCTGCATCTTCCTTAGAATAAATATCCTGGTTTTGTGACTACAAAAGGAGTAAAGTCTGCACAGGGTTTCAGGCCTCAGGGCTTCTATTGAAGTGACTTAAAAGTGTAGTTTAGAGAAGAAAATTAATTTCTGATGTTGCAAATTTCCTCTACATGATCCCATATTCAGCATCTGTTTATAAATTTATTCTCAGTCAGGGAAGAATTTTAATGTAATTAAATTTAATGTAATTCACTATTATGGTAATAAACTATCATCCATACTACAGACATGTAGCCAAGAAAAGTAATAGAACTCTCTAAAATGTGGACTATCCCAAACCTAGCTATTAATTTTAGCTTTATAAATATGGAGTTAAATGTCTAATCTATCTTCTCTTTAGACACCAGAAACGTACAGTACGAGAAAAAGTGTAACCTCTTCCCACCATATATGTGCCCCCAGATAACCTCCAACTCTTGCTATGATAAAGCTTTTCTTGACAATGATGTTCAAGTGAGCCCAGCTTCTTGTTTTGTGAGCTAAAAGCTATCACCAAGTTTCAGCAGCTGCTCAGCTGACTGCTCACAAGCTTTTCTGTGCAGACAGTAAATCAGGGAATGACACCACCAGTGTTCTTTTCAAGGCCAGGAACAGTGAAGAGGCACCAGGGCTGTAGCTGGGCTCCAGCATGCTGATGGCAATTCAGCATGACTCTGGTGAGGTGATGCACGGTGCTGAAAAATTGCTGGCTTCTATTCACACCTGCTTGTATAGATTGTGAGAATCATTCAGATATTCTTGAGTTTGATGGTGGAAGTAAATCTTACTTCCTGCCTGAAAGAGATTGTGGCCCAAGAGGATGTTCATTTCAAGTTCTGTAAGTTCTGATTTACTAGTCCCAAAATACGTCATGAAGTCTCACTCTATTCTTCAAACAATGCAATTCAAATATGTTAAATTATTTAGAACCACTAAAGGTTGAAATTGTAAACTTTGAACAATATATCAATATAGAATACTTGCCATTAAGTCTCTTCTCCCCCTTCCTCCCCCCTCATTTTTACAAAGTTGACATTTGACTAATTTTGACTAATATTTCATGTAACTTTTTTCTCCCCTTGGAATTGTATGCCATTATTGATGCAGGAATTACTTTTTACTGCTGCAATGATCTAATAATCAGAGAGCATACTCTTTCCATTAATTATTTATTTAAACTTCTGATTTGTTAGTTAGTGGCTTTGTATCTACAAGCTGAACTTAAAAAGAGCTTTATAGCTGATAAACTTTCCCTGGATATACTAAATAAATTTTCACGGTTTTACCCCTCATCTTTGTTTCTGAAGTTATTGTAACATATGTGATACTCGCCTACAATTTTTCTTTACTCAGAACAGGAGTGAAGAAAACCCTTCCACGCTTTCTGATACTCCACATGCAGCTTAGTGAGAAAATGTGCTGCTGTTTTCTCTCCCTCATGTAATTTGACAACCTAATAATTAACTAATCTGAGTTTCTCTGATTAAAGGAACACCACAGGGATTAGTGCATGTGAAAGCATCATGACAGAAATCATTTGTCAAACAATCATTGTCTAATTCCTCAGTGTTGACTAAGTAAAGTATTTACTAGTACATTTTTAGCCTGTTACCAACACACATTCAGTTCATTGGAATATCTTTAAAGGAGAACCAGATACGAAACCAAATCAAGATCACTTTGTGGTTCAACATCCAATCCAATTTAGCTGTTTAAAATGCATTCAATTAAATTATCGAATTTCAAATTCCCTGAAGACCACTTAGATTTATGCTAAATGTGAAAGGCATAATCTGAAATGTAACCATACCAACCTATAGATCCATAGACATATGGAAATACTTAGTTAAATGATCTCTGTGAAAGGTCCCTAGTGATCCCTCTCACAGAAAATAAAATAAAGTATTGAGTAAAGAGGATAATCCTTGGAATATCTCCTGCAGACATTTCTTCACATCTTTGTATGGTGGCCGTTGATAATATGCTATAGTAGAAAAGGAGAAAATCGAGTTTCCAGAGCTGAGGGATTTGCTGGTGTCCAAGAAGCTCCAGACAGAAAGATTAATACATCAGCAGTAATTAATGCTTCCCTCATCTTGATCTTTCCAACATAACTAGTCAAAACAATCCCACACCCCGTGTTCTAACTTGTATGGGACAGGAGAGGAACAGGATGGGTAAGAATACAAGAGTGGAAAAGCTTTATTAAATTGCGAGATGACTGCTCTGTATGGGATAACATTTCTATTATCCCATCTCACTATCCTTCAGTATACTGTTGTGCCTTTCAGACAGTCCTGAGTGACATTGGAAGAGAGGAGGAAAACATTGCAAACATCAAGCCTCTGCAAAGGTGTGTTGGATTTGATCAGTTGTGGGTACACACTTTCACAGCAAGTGCATTGCACATTATATGCAGTTTTTAAGGAAGTGGTATGTATTGTCAAGGCAAAAGAAACATGTATTTACTATGTGACACTGTCCTTAATTGTGCACTATAGACATTTCAGCCGTGCTGACTATCTTGTGGTTGCTTTTTGTATTGATGGAATAGGTTTTTGCTAACTAAATGCATTACAAGGATAGAAAAGTTTACAAGAATTTATGTCTTGCATATTTTGTTAGAGCACATTTCTGAGCTGACATTTTACTATTATTAGTTGTTTTCCTTTGGAAAAATAAAAAAATAAAACAAATGAAACTAGTTTCTGGAACACCACTGTGACATAGTACTAAAGTATCTTCTCTGAATAAAGTTGGGTGGGGTTTTTGGGGGGTTTTGGGGGGGGGGTTGGTGGTTTTTTTTTTTTTTTTTAGACAGAAAGAGCAGTAGAGAACTATCACATGGCAGGACTACATATCTTTCGTGGCTGGTTAAATATTTACAAAGTAAGGTCCTGTGTGATTTATTCAAGAAAGATATGCATTGAAATCTGGTTAGGTTTCTTCCATGAAAAAATAGGATAGAGAATAATTCAAAAGAACTAATCTAGATAATCAGTGAACACCTTGCTTTTGGAAAAGAAAATACACAGTGGTTTTAGTACATAAAATTCATTCACATCGATGGTAAAGAGAAAAAAAATTAACAGCGACTGAGGAGTCTCCAGAGAGAAAAGGTCCTTTCTGAACAATATTGCTACCTGTATGTTTCAGAGGGCAGAGTTTCAATATTTTCTGCCAACAGTTTGTTCATAGTTCTTAGAGATATCTGCATACTATGATATAAAATAGGCAAAGGGTCTTTTCAAGCTGAGAACACAAGTCTGGATTCAGACCTTCTTTATCTGTATATTTCTAACTGCATATGGAAAGAATTTGGTATTACAAAAAGTTTATGGTAATATTGAGATTTGTGATGGCATACTTTGTCTGCTTTATTGAAAAATAAATTTAAGCTGAAAAACAGATTCATTGTCACTAAGAAAAATGTGTAAGTGGAATGAATTTTATTTTAGTTTCATTTTCACACATCCCTTTCCACATAAGCTTATTTGGTATAATTATTTATATCTGATTGTAATGCAATGCAATACGCTAACATTTTAATTTTTTCTGACTGTTCTGAAAAAGAACATAATAATAGAAACTTTTTCTCCTTTGCTCCATTTATACTTTCTGAGAAACTTATCACTGCAGAAAGTTTGCTTCAGAAGACAACACACATCAAGTGAAATATGAAATTATTCTATCACACTTCCTGAAATACTGAAGTTAAGAGGATCACTGAAGATTAATTGCTAATATGTATAATATCAGAAACAGGTCAGAATAAACATTTTAAGCACTGATTTACAGTTGCCTCTGTGGTTCATATAAGATTAAAATGAGCACATCCTACTGCCTGAGCTGAATGCATAAGAAAAATTGAGAAACACAAACACTACTAACCTTGGTGTACTTAATTTTCAGATCTTTGAGTGGCTCTGGCAGCGCTGGCAAAACTGGAGCAGGATTACTGTCTGAACCTTGCTTCTTCATATTTTCAGTTGAGGAATTTGAGGACGTTCCTGAAACACAGGTGAAATAAAGTATAAGGGATACGCAGTGATTTTTGTCCTGACTGAGCTCTTAGCTTTATTTGTGCTTTTTTATCTGTACCAGCTATGGTATATTTGCATACAGGAATATGATTGGATGAAAGAATTCATTGCAAAGAGAAAATGACACTACTTATTATTAAGACCAAAAGCAACAGCCTTTTCACTGAACTGAGACCTCAATGAAGCAAATGCTGCTCAAGCAATCTGTTTAGCCAGGCACTACGAATTTCTACTGGGGGACACAGTCTACGTCCACATCATCTTACCTGTAAAATTGCTTTCTCTTAGCAGGCAGGTTCCCAGACTTTAAGTGAAGTTTTTCACGTACTTGAAGGCAGCTCTGAAGGTAAAGACAGACTTGTTAGCTCTGGAAACAAACTAAGCATTTCTCACTGGACAGTTGTCAAAAATATTTCCCAGAGCTGGGAAGTGTTCACTAAAAAGCAAACCACCTTAAGTTACACTTTAATATGTTCACAGTACATTATAATTCCTGTAATTAATACCTGCTTTTCAGATGACAAAGATAAGGTTATTGACTATGACCACTGATGACTACAGTCACACAAAATGCTCCATATGTTTTTCAAGAAATGTGAAAGTAGGACAAAATTGATCAATCCAGAAAAATAGTCTATGGATAGAACCAACAAAAGCTTGTTGTTTTTTTCCAGATAGAACCAGAATTTTAAGGACAAAATTTTTTCTCCAGTACTCTTTGTAAAATATGAATTTGTGCCTTTCAAAACCAATTATTTAATAGACAGGACATTCCTACCCAGGGTAGAACCTGCTGGTGCATATATGTACAGTTCTGATTTTTCAATGACAAACATATCTCTGGTACTGGTAAATCTTTTCATAGATTTCAAAGAACTTCTTTCTTCATTAAGTCCTACCTTTTCTGATGAATGATATCACAGAACAAACTGGAACTGAATTAAGACTTGTTTTTATATGCTGAGCTTCTGATGTATAAAAAATGGATTTGTACAATAGAAATAAAAAGAAATGATCTTATTGCTTTCATTGTGACTACACAGATGCCTGAAAAACCCACTGAGCTCAGTTAATTCATATATCAGCTAAATCATCTGGCAATGAAGACTTCATTGCATTTAACTGGTGGATGATACAGGACATAGCATGAGGTTAATCTTATGATGCATTAGTTATATGTAACATACATTCTGAATTGAAGAGCATGCTATAATTATAATTGATGATTTTTGTGTTTGGACATACGGTTGGAGCAAGAGTTTCTGACCTCTAGAAAATTCCATGTAATTCAGGGTATAAGAGAATTCTTTTCTCACAGTAGTCATCCCATTGAGATGCAAAAAGCTGTGTGGACTTGAACAACTGTCCTCCATACACTCTGTTATGTGAATGAAGGGCACCCCTTCCCATTGCTATAATGCCATGACATCTGAGGTTACCAGCTCAGTTACTTCCCTTTGGATGTGTCCCCTAGCTCTTCTGCCTCAGCCCCATGTAGAATGGTATGTTTTGTGAACAGCACTTTCAGACCTTAACATTTTGGCTTGCAATGTTTGCCTGTCTTTGAGTCCCATGAAAAAAAGACAATGTCTAAATAGGGCTTGTTCACTTTTATTTGGAATATAGTTGGAATATAGATTTTCAGTGTTATCTTCATGTAGCAAATCTTTGTGGTTTTCTTTTTTTTTTTTTTTAATTTACATGCAATTTTCTAGTTTAGATACTAAAGACATAGTTTTTAAAGACATAGCTTAGAACTCTAATAATCTTCCTGCCACTCATTTCTCCACTAACACACACAAATGTGTCTCTAGTTAATTCACTTATTAATTGCTCAGATTTGCTTAAATTAAAAAGAGTTTGATTGGAGTTGTAAAACAAAGATCAGTGGTATTATCTGATTTCAAGCAAAACAAAACATATTTCTCCCAACCAGGAGTATTCTAAATACATTATCATATTTAGGTACCATTGCCTTCCTGATTTTTTAAAAAATACTAAGCTATTATGATAACTTCTTTGGAAAATGATAGTAATTATCCTTGTCCCATGTCTATAAGAACAGCCTGAAATCTGCTTAGGTGGGCTGTAGAGATACTTCCCTGAATGAAAAGTTTCAACTTTTCCAAATGTGCTAGTAATCATTACTTTATTTTCCACACTAGTCATTCATTTAACACGTACTTTACCCTCTTTTTTCCTTTCTGTTTCCCTCTTTCACTCTTGGATTGCATGAATCACCTTCACTACCACACTTCCTGTGGGTCCTTTCTTTTCTCTCTAAACACTATGTATTGTTAAAAAGTCTCATGTCTTAAAAAGATTAGTTTTTATCTTGAGCAATCTGCTTATCCTATCACCAGGCCTTATCTGCTGAGACTTGCTCCAAGCATTATCATTAATGTCAATTATTCTTTTAAATTCTCTGTGTCCTCATATGCCTGACTCGCTTCCCTTTTTCTAGGAATTTCTAGCTATTGCTTAGAGACTAGCTGTTTATGAGCATCCCAATTATCTCCCATTCAATAATTTTCCTATTCACTTTCAGCCTAGGATTCCTTTTAGCCTAATGTAGAGATGATTCACCTTTCCTTGCATGCCATGTTCCTGATTATTACAGCTTCCTGTTATTTTCATTCTGTGACTTTTTTTCCCCAGTCCTGCATCACTACTGTTACACATTTCACATAAATAAGGACGTACACTTCAAGCACTATAACTTTAGTGGACCGTATTATTCTTTCACTTGGTGGATTTTACAACACTTGGATATTATAGATATTCTACATGGAAGTTTACATAGTTTTGTTAAGATTTTCTTGGAAAATGCTAGATCCTATCTAGTTTTTTCCTTTCTTTTGCTCAATGATTTGAATGTTACTTCTTCTTGTCTTTTCACTGCTAAGGAATGAACCTTAGCCACTCCACACCTTGAAGAACCATGTGATATGTGACTGTGTGATATTGCTTCCTACACTTTAATGCGTAACAGTTCTCCCAGTTGAAACTTACTGAGTTCCCCTATTCAATTCAAGATCAAAGAGATACAAACAAAAGGTCATGATGCAAGTGATAATTATAAGCTATGAAATGCCTTGCTGCATGGCACAAAAGTTGCTAAAATATGAGATCGAGGGCTGCATGTACTTTTGATCTGATGCATCTATGTCAGTAAGTTAAGGGAAGGAGCTGTAAATAATTTGTCCATGTGTTTCTTTACAAAGATTAAAAAAAAAGTTTAATAACTGACCAAACACAGCATTCCAGAGTACAAACAACCTTTCTTCCCAGATGTAGTAGCCTTTCTCCTCAGATGTTTTAGTACATTTGGAAATCGCCATCTTAGTTAGCAGTTACTATTTGATCGGGTTCTTTCTAGTCTAGGTGGGCAAACTATTTGGCCTATATTCTTGAGATTCCTTGCAGCACCATATTCATTACATGAGATATGCTTCAACAGCCAGCAGCACACACACAAAAGCAAAGCTTTTCATTGGGTTAGCTTGCAATTCAACTGATTAAATCAGTGTGTCACAAGAATCAGCCAGAGGTAACCTGTGACTGGATTCACTTCCCTAAACACAATACTAGTACTATCTGAAATGCTCTGGCCCTTCCTAGCTGCCCTGACATGTCAGTTTGGGAGAGTTCTGTAGATCTTATGTCACCTTGCCAAAGTTGTATCAGTGTCTTCAAAATCCTTGTGCAGCTCAAAAGACACTTGATGCCCATATTGAAGGAAATTACTAGACCAGAAGGTTTATAGGTTTATGATTCTACTTGATATTTTTATGCTAGTGTATGCTGGGCTAATACAGTCTGAAAGCCATATATTTGTTACAGAAATCCCCCTTCCAGCATTTAATAGCAAAATATTTACTTTACATTGTAGAAGATTAGTCTGAGAATAGAATTACCTCTTATCCAGAAATTACTTTGGCTTTTCTAAAGGCCAGAAACTATTGGGATTTTTTCCCCAGAAGTAGGCACAAGCTTGTCTTTTTTCAAAGCAGCCTTTTTTTTTCTTTTTTTTTTTTTTTTTTTTTTATAATCTCCAAAAAAAAGGGGGGGGCAGGGGGAAGAGGAGGGGAGGGGGAAGAAAGGCCATCTACAAGGTACGGAT